ACTTCATCAATTAAAGTCAAGGTCTGCTCACTTACAACATACATAATTAGACCAATTCCAATTCCCAGTGAGAGTCTTCCAAGATCAAGAGACCAAGCACCCTGGCAACAAGCATGGGAGTACTTAAAAGTGGCAAACTGAAGAGACGACCAAAAAAAAAAAAAAGAATGAAGATAAAGAAGAATGAAAAGAGTAGAGCAAGGGACTTCAATTGTTTTCTATTTATTATCTTTCTGCATTAGAAGAAAGTAATGTCCTTCAACTTGAGCATTTTGTAAGAGAACAATAACTTTTAATATCCCAACTTCAGTTGTCTTTCTTGTAAGAGCTCAAAAGAAACACCTTCAGCTATGTTGATCACAATTAATTATTTTTTTCCATCCAACAGAAACAATGAAGATTCTCACAGAGGCCTCAAAGCTCTTTGATGGTTATAATATGTTGGAGCTATGGAATGAAAGCTGAAAATGCAATGAAATGAGAACTGGTAATGATGCTGCAACATGACTGCACAGTATCAGCAAATGACAGCAGCATGGAACTTCACATGGGCTACAAGAAATGGCAGCAGACTTCATCAATTTAGTCAATGTTTTAGGTAGTTAATAATTATTGTATTAAGTAGAAAAATACTATTATTTTATGTGTAGCCTTCCTCTATAAAAAGGAAGGAAGAAATTGAATGAAAATTGAGAAAGAGAAAGCATGGCTTCTCCTCTCCGGTTGGATGAATGTCTGCACCCTTCCATGTTTATGGCTTTTATGTTCTATGTTATGTCGTATTGTTTCTGCTATAAATGGCAGAATATCAATGGAAGAAAATGAGTTTTCACCTCAACAAAGAGGGAACTCCGGGGGTGTCTCCTTCTCCTCCAAGTCCTCTCTCAATCTGCCCTTCTTACCTCAAAAATCCAACATAATACCCTAGTGCTACCATTGGCTTCCTTTGAGGAAATGATTGCTAGGAAATATAAAACCAAAAACATCCTGGCAATTGTCTAAGATATGTATGATTATGGGGAGAGAAAGAATAAGGGACTTCCTACCTTGGAGAATGCTATTGAGAACCATCCAATTATGCAAAATAATTCAGATAACCACATAGTCTGCACCAACAATGAAGAAATTAGAGTGGGATAGTTCAAGACAAAAATTTTGGACTTATATTTCTATATTAATACTTGAGATTAAGGGGGCAACAGAAAAAACTTACACCTCTTCGGCCAATGAGATCTGTTACCTTCCCGTTAATTAATGAACCTATGATTCCTCCAACTGTAAGTATTGAACCAAATACTGAGTACTGCAGAAGAAGGAACAAACAAGATCAATATGGGAAGAAATGCATCTTTAGAGTTTAGGGGAACAAAAAATTACAGGTGGTTGAAAAATATTAGTTTTTGGCATTCACTACTTAGTTAAAATCAACATTTCTTTTGAATAGAAAAAAAGGAGGGAAAAGGGAACACTTACTGCTGCGGTAGAGAGGCCCAGGTCCTCCTTGATTCCAGATTCAGCAGGGGACGAAAATCCTGTCTGCAGAGCAATAAAAAATACCAACTTAGATCACACCGAGAGAAAGGCTTAAGCAAAAAATGTACGTAATTCATTGTCAAAAATCTCACTATGTCTACGCCTCACTTCCTAATCCAAAGAAAAAATATGTAAATTCTATGTCAACCTCTATCTCAACCAAAATTGTTCTTTTCCAAGAGCAAGAATGATTTCAGTAAACTCAGAAACCATCAAATGAAAGTATATATTTTTTGGTTTAAGGCTAATAATGTAGACCAAAACCTTAGCTCTCGGCAGGTCCTGGACCCGGTACCTGGCCATTTCAGTGGAAACGGAAGAAAACTAAAATGTAAAGAGTTTCATTTCCTTACTAATATTCTAAGCTAAAATTACATGGAAATACGGCGATGGCAACTTAACAATCAAAGTTACAAACCAAAAGACAAAACCGACATAAGGAGCTGGAAGAATAGAGTACTTACAGAGCAACCTAAACAAAATGACCCGCAGACAGCAACCATGGTGCCGAAAATTACCACAAATGTAACTGAAGAGTCACTGTCTATCAAGTCAACTTCACTAATCATGCGAGGATTTGGTGCTAAAAGACTAGAACTTGGAAGTAACCCATCTTCCTCCATGCTTTCTCTCCCAATTCCTCAATTTTCTTGGAGCACAAAGAATTAAAAATTAACAGAAAAGTTGCTGGGATTGCATGAGATATGGAGAGAAGGTTAGTGGAGACTGACAGAAACGAGTTCCATTTTAGACCCTTGGTTGGAAGATAGTTGTAATTGTTCTTTAAATTTAAAGAAGCAACTTCTGGGTGTTGGCAGGAGGATATGCAGATGAAATAGAGGACATTCCAATTCGGATAAAAACCCCAACCCACATCTGAAATAGAGGAAATTTCTCAGGTACAGAATTTCAACATCAAATGTCAGATACAAAATGAACATGTTTTTGGTGGGGTAGTAAGGCTGACTTTCAGCTACCAAGTAAAAGATTTGCGCTTGGTTTTTTTTTTGGTTTTCCGCGCCATTAATTCAGATCGACTCGGGTGACGCACTTAAAAATACTGAGTGAATTTTTCAATGAAGATTGCTATGTATATAAGATTTCAAACTCAAAAGTTTATTTAAGCTGGAACAAACTACTTATTATTTGATCTAACCCTTCTTTGGTAAAGATTTGCGCTTGTTTTTTCTTGTGGTTTTCCGCGCGATTAATTCAGATCGACTTGAGTCACGCATCTAAAATACCGAGTGAATTTTTTAAAGAAGACTGCTACGTACATAAGATTTCAAACTCAAAAGTTACTTAAACTGAAACAAACTACTTACTTGATTTAACCCTTCGTTGGTAAAGATTTGCGCTTGTTTGAAACTGGGTTGGTGGAAATACACAGACCACAGTGTACAGACTCGGAGCATGAAAAAGCTTATTTACTGCTTACAAAAAGGTCTCATAATTGCTTATAAAAAGCGTCTCCTTTAAATGTGGGATGCCTTGGGACGGCAATGAAGGCTAACAAATAGTTAATTACTCATAAATTCTATAGTCAGTAACTATATGGCTTGTGTTTTGGGGTGGTGTTATTGCCACAGCTTCACATGTTAACACCACAGCTTTTTTAATTAATTGACCATTAACCCACGCGGAGAAGGTGGTGACTGCTGCAATTTGGATTCAAATGAGGGGTATAATAGTCAAATAATTAAAAAAAGCTATGGATTTAACAGTAGTGGCTGTGGCAAATGGCAATAACACCACCGTGTGTTTTGATCGGGAAAAGGTTATGCTCAAACCGCACAAATCAGTCGGTAACGCCCTAATCAGTTAAAAATAAAAACCGTGACTTTTTTTTTAATAAAAATAATAGTTAATAAGTTAATATTATTAAAAATTAATAATTGATAATCAATCTCAAATCTGATAAATAATTAATCAATCTCAATAAAACGCGCGTGATTATAAAGCGTACAATTATCAGACGGTTCGGTGAAATTAAAAAAAAAAAAAAGCTAACCACATTCTTAGTGCATTAAAAAAAAAAAAGTACATTCTTCAGTGCATTAAAGAAAGAAAAAAAAAGTACATTCTTCAGTGCATTAAAAAAGAAAAAAAAAGTACATTCTTCATAAATTACGGATGATGTCAGCATAACCATTTGTTCATGTCACAATTTTTTTTTTTTTTAACATATTTGCAAGGGGTGGATTTCGAACTCAATTTGAGGAGGGAGGAATGCACCGGCGGGGAAGGAGAAATGCACCGAGTGATTATTGCTACTAGGCCTCAAGGGTCAGGTGCATTTGTTCATGTCACATGGTTCTATTTTATATTTATTTATTTATTTTGATTAATTTAATTAATTTATAAATATTTAGAATGATTTAAAATATTAATATATAAGTTAATTTTTATTTATTAAGTAAATAAATATTTTTTTATATAAAAAAAATAAATATATAGTGTTTTGTAACAAACTGTAATAGTATTAGGTGAACTTTTGCAAGTTGATGCAAAAGATGTTGGAATGGGGATAGGATGAAAATAACAAAAATTATTTTATATTATAAAATATTAATTTTTAGATGAGGAAAATGCTTCTTAATATTAAGAGTTCTATTTCCTTTTAAAGATCTCTCTTTTTATTTAAGGATTTTTGTTTATTTTATAAGTTGAAATAATTCAAATGGTAAAACAATTGTCCTATAACAAATTGGTTAAAATAATCAACATGGTTTAATTAAGGGTACACATAAAATAAAAAAAGTTTAATTAAGCGTTTTCGTAACATATACTTTTAGTTATAAAAGTATAATAAATATCTTTTTTTATAAATTTGTTTTGCAAAATAAAAGTTAAAAGTTAAAATTTAATTTATTAACATTTAATTAAATTTATTCACATAACAATGATACTAAATTAATATTAATTTTTATATTTTTTATATAAATTTAAAATAAAAAGGTAAACTTAACCTTTATTCTTATGACACAGATTAAAAAATTTAATTAAAGTCAGAAAATTAAAAATTATTGTACAAAAATTTAATAAGAGTAAATTTTGTAATAAATTTTTATTAAATTGTTAATTTTTTTCATGTTTAATAAGAAATTAATATTGAGAAAATTAACAAAAACATATTAAATGAGTCCTATATTAAAAGAAAAGTTGAGAAGAAAGTTTTTTTTTTCGTTAAAGAAAAAATTATTTATTAAAAATTGTGTAAAAAAAATAAAAATACTAACTTTACTCTATATTTATTATTGTATTTAAATGTCCAAATATTAAAATATTATTAAACTTCACGATATAGTGTAGGTGAAACTTTTTCCAACCAAACGCAAGTTTTCATTGGTCATAGAAGATCTCGTGAGATATATTTTGCAAAATTTTATGTACCTCAAAATATTAAAAAAATAAAAAGAAAAACATTTTGGAAGCATTAGGAGAAGATTTGTTATGGTGAGAAGCTTTAACGTTCAGTTGGATGAGTGGTCAATTTAGACTACAATATATAGTAATCCAAAGCCATGCTTCTTGCCAAATGAAGGTTTTTTTTTTTTTTTTTTGATGAAAAGGATGCGCATATTTTATTGATAAATAAGGGAGAAATAGGGAAGACATAATTAGATATTGGACTTGTCCCTTATTACAAATTGCGCTATAAGCTCAGGTAGATCAGCACCCCAGCACTCGTCGGCTTCTGCTTGGATGGCTCGTTTCGCCAACTCATGAGCAACAGAATTTCCTTCCCTTCTAGTGTGCTGAACTCGACAACTAAGGAAGGAAGTCATGAGCATCTTGCTGTCAGAAATAATCAGCCCCAAGGTGGAATTCAGAGGGGGAGACTCATGTTGCATGGCGGTGACGATGGTCGCACAGTCTGATTCAAGAATTATCCTATCAAAAGAAAGGCCTCGCGCCCACTGTAGCGCCTTGCGCAGCGAACATGCCTCAGCTATCTCAGCGACCACTGCACCTTGCCCTTTACATGCCATCGCTGCCACCACATTACCATCATGGTCACGGGCCACAGCTCCTATGCCAAAATTCTGTTGCTGACCTGATGTGGCTCCATCTGTATTGATCTTCACGTGACTCACGTCAGGAGGCCTCCATCTTGTTTCACCAAGCTGTTGCCCAAGTCCCACTTGCCTGCCCTTTGAGATCATTGCTTGTTTATACTCCCGTAAATAGCCCAAGCCGTGCTCTATGATGCGTTGTGGATCTGTGTGCTTACCGTGCCAAACTACCTCATTTCTGCACCCCCAAATCTTCCAACACAGGATGCATAACATCTCTAATTGTTCTCTTCCCAGGATAGGTATCATACCGTCAATAAAAGCTGCAAAATTATCAACATGAAGCTCTGACACGCGGAGACTAAGAGGGCTTCCTAACCAAGTTGCTCTTGCGGCGAGGCAGTACACAAAGCAATGCAATATAGACTCAGGCTCCAGACCACACACAGGGCATAACAAGTCGGTCTCAACGCGTCGCCGATGAAGGTTATCCTTAGTTGGGAGCACACCCCTATAAGCTTGCCATATTAAAAGACGGACCGTCTCAGGAACATCAATACGCCATAAGCGGCCTCCTCCAACACTGCCTGAAGACCCTGAGGGGCCAATGCGACTACTCTCCATCTCCAAGGCACGGTGGTACCCAGTTCTGACAGAGAAAACACCATTCCTTGTAAAGTTCCAAGTCCACCCATCATTCCGCCGCGTCCAGCTGAGAGGAATAGACAAAATCAGAGCAGCTTCAGAAGGATTAAAGGTACACAAAATTAGATCCTGCTTCCATGTATGAGTGGCTTCATCTATGAGATCCGCAACATAGTGAAGAGTACAAGAGAGAGGTCGAGGAGATTGAACGCAAAATTGTGTGATCCCGGGCAGCCATGGATCTCCCCATATCTCGATCGTTCGACCATCTCCAATTAACTTCCTACAACCCTGCCTTAATAGTGTGATAGAGCACCAAATACTCCGCCATGTTTGGCTACAAGCAGGTTTTAGCTCTGCGTGAAACAGATCGGAGCGAGGGAAATACTTTGCTTTCATCAATCGGCCCACCAAAGAGTCTGGATTCACTAGCAATCTCCAACTCTGTTTACAGAGCATCGCAAGATTAAATTCATGAAGGGAGCGAAAGCCCAAACTGCCGTCCCTTTTCGAAGTGGCAAGCTTCTTCCATTCCAACCAGTGAATCTTATGCTCGTCCATTCCACCACCCCACCAATAGCGGTTCATAATCCTTTCTAAATCCGTGCAGAGACTTTGAGGGAGTAGAAATAAGCTCATGACATAAGTTGGGAGAGCTTGCAGCACTGATTTGATCAACACCTCCCTACCTGCTCTAGAAAGGGGTTGCTCCCTCCATTCACCAACTTTATGCCAGACTTTTGACTTCAGGCTCGAGAATACTGCAGTTCTATTTCTACCCACAAAGGCAGGAAGACCGAGATATCGCCCCGGTTGGGAGCTTGCACTCATACAAAGTATCTGGGAGATGGCATCTTGAGTTCTTTGTGGCACATTACTACTAAAGATCACTGAGGACTTCTGCACATTAATCACCTGACCCGAGGCCGCTTCATACTTCTAAAGAATCGACATTAGATTCACAGACTCTGTTTCAGTTGCTCGAAGAAAAAGGAAGCTATCATCTGCAAAGAAAAGGTGGGAGATAGTGGGAGCTTGTCTGCATATTTTAATCCCATGTAACAACTTCTGTTCCTCTGCATCTCTGATCATTGCTGTAAGGCCTTCCGCACATAAGATGAATAAGTATAGGGACAGAGGGTCCCCTTGTCGTAAGCCTCGAGTTGGGATGACTCGCCCAGCATCCGCACCATTGAGTAGAATATTATACTGCACTGAAGAGACACAGCCCATGATTAAAGATATCCACCGATCTGCGAAACCGAGAGCCCTCATAACAGCTTCTAAGTATGGCCATTCAACCCTATCAAAGGCTTTGCTCATGTTGAGCTTTATTGCTTGCCAACCCCTCTTCCTACGCTTTCTAGCACGCATGAAATGGAGGACTTCATAAGCAATCAAGAAATTATCAGTAATGAGCCTAGTTTGTAGAAATGCACTCTGTTCTGGAGATATAACCTCTGGTAGCACCTGCTTGAGCCTATTAGCCAGCGTTTTTGCAAGAACTTTATAAATTACATTACACAAACTGATCGGCCGGAGATCACTCATGGTCTTCGGTTCCTTACATTTCGGAATGAGAACAATGTTTGTAAGGTTAAGCTCTTGCGGAAAAGCCACCCCAAGGTTTAAGTATTGCAAACACGGAGTAATCACATCCTTCTTCACTGTACTCCAGAATTTCTGAAAGAAAAGTGGTGTTAGGCCATCAGGGCCTGGTGCCTTTGAGGGATGCATTTGAAATAACGCTTTGACAAGTTCCTCCTCAGTAAAATCATGCAGTAAATAGCTATTCTCCCTCACTCCAACTCGTGGGCATAAGCAACTCGTGACCACATCGATATTTGAGGGACGAGTAGACTCAAAGATTTGTGCAAAATATCCCGTAACAAGACCTCTCAACTCAGCTAAATTAGTAGTCCATTCCCCCTGGTCTGTCAATAGCTTCTGGATCTTGTTCCGTGCCATGCGCTGAGATGCCCTATTGTGGAAATACCGGGTGTTTCTATCCCCTTCCTGAATCCATAGATCTCATGACCGCTGTCTCCACATTACTTCTTCTCGCTCAAGCCACTCTTCCGTTTCAAAAAGTATTTGCTTCTCCTCTTGACATGCGGCTTCAGGGTCTCGACAAAGGCTTAAAGCTTCTAGTCTTTTAGTACACTGCTCAAGGCGCCTCTGGACGTTGCCAAAGTGTTGGGAATTCCAGGATTCAAGGCCTATTGAACAGGCTTTCACCTTTTGCAACAGGCTAAGCCAGTCGCCAGCTCCATTAACAGAAAGCCAACTATTGTGAATTATCTCCTGACAACTAGCATCCCGTAGCCACATCTCCTCAAAGCAAAACTTCTTCTTATGCCTATTCCGCTTGTCCCGACGCCCATTTATTGTAAGCCAAAGAGGGTTATGGTCGGATGACAACGGCGGTAGCAGTCGAACCTGAGCATGGGGGAATAAGCACTTCCAAGAGGCTGAGGCTAAGCCCCTATCCAACTTCTCACACACCCTACCCCTTCGCCAGGTGAATTTGCCTCCAACCATCTGTACTTCTGTTAAACCACAGTCTGTAGCCACCTCATTAAAACCTTGTAGCATCCAATCTGGTTGGGGACACCCTCCAAGTTTTTCCTCTTGGCTCAAGATATCATTAAAATCTCCACATATGAGCCAAGGTAAGGACTCCCTGCTCCTAAGTTCCTGCAATAAAGACCATGAGTGTCTCCTATTACATCTTTTTGGGTGTCCATAAAAGCCCGTGAATCTCCACTTGCATCCCTCTAAGCCTTCGATTGTCATGTCAGTATGATTCTTGGAGAAAGAAAGTAAAGAGAGCACAGTAGCATTGTGCCAAACATAGCAAGTCCCCCACTTCGGCCCACTTTCTCCACTGTGAAGCAATGCTGAAATCCCAACCTCCTGCGTATACGTTCCATGCCCGATTTGTCCAATAATGTCTCACAAAGGAACACTATTGAAGGGTTCTTTAGCCTCACCAGCTCTATGAGGCATCGAACTGCTCGAGGGTTCCCAAGCCCTCGGCAGTTCCAACAAAAAAGACTCATGGCGACTGGCGGGCCTGCTGAGCAGCACCCGCCGATAGGATAATTTGGTTACCATCCACCCCCTCTCCTCTGCTTCTCTTCTCACAAGTTGCTTGGCTGCCATCTACTTGCAGAACTTTCTCATCCTTTCGTTTCAATCTGATAGATTGGGTAGGCCTGCGCTCACGAGCCTCTCGTTTCCAAGCTCTTGGTTTTTGACCAGTATGATTTGAGCCTGACGCAAAGACAAAAATAGAACCAGAGTCTTGACTTGTTGGGTTTGGGCCTTGATGCACGTGGTTCAATGTTGGGCCATCCAGGCCTGTGGGACCTTGTCTAATCAATTCAAAATTCCCCATTGCCTCACCTTCGCGCCTATTGCTGTGATGTGTAGAGATTACATCCGTAATGACAATATCTTCCTTTATTCCAGCATCTCGAGCTGTGTCTGTTATGCCCAGATCACTCGGGCTATCAATATGTTCAATTCTCAATCTACAGCTAGTATTATGCCGATTGGCATCAACACTTTCTTCTAATAAACTGTCACCCAGATTGCTTTCCTTACATACTCCGTCAGTCACGCCTTTACCAATCCGCCAATTGCTCTGTTCATAACCGGCGAAAGATCCTACTGATCCCTTATTTCTCGCACTTGCCAAACTAAGATTCGAATGCCCCCATCGAACTTTAGCCGCCATCGGGTTTCCGGCGGCATCTCTGAGCCATCGTCCCCCAGTAGTCTCATCAATCCGCTGCATGGACTTTGGCTGTGCTCGTAACTCCTCACTGTATGGGCGTTCAGCTACTCCTTGCGCCTCCATGTCTAAGCTAAGTTCGCAATCCCATTCAACATGATCAAGCATGCCGCAGCAGTAGCAAAAGTTGGGCAGGCGCTCATAACGAAAATCAACCCAAATTTGCCCCGACCGTAAAGAGAGTTTCATCCCCCGTCGTAGAGGCTTCCTTGCATCAATAGCAACCCTAACTCGAATGTACTCACCGCCCCGTGCATCCCCGCCACCATCATCCACCTCTATGAGACGCCCAAGCTCTTCCCCAATACGCTTTCCTGATGTTGTAGTTAGGCGATCTGGTGGTAGGCCATGGATCTGAACCCAAAAAAGGACCTCATATAAGTCATCTGTTGTGACCCGTCTTCCATTCTGTGCCTCTTGGAGAACCATAACATGGTTTGAGAACTTCCATGGGCCAACAGCTAACACCCGCTGCATATCAACAGGATGAAAAAAATAAAAAGCAAACAGGTTTTGGCCTAACACCCTCATATGCATACCCTTGACTGGCCTCCATACGCCGGCAAGCGTGTTCTCCATGGCTTCCATATTGTACCTCTTTCGAGTCAAAACCTTCCCCACAAGACAGTATCTTGAATGCCCACTAGCAAGATCGACTTCATCTGCAACCTCCAAATCGACCCCTACCTCCTCTTCGGCTGTCAGGGACAATCGTTCCCCTAATGCTGTCGTTAGATCCCGCACACTCGATTCCATCAGTCGTAGCAAAACTATGAAAAAGTGGTTTGGCGACCTCCACAGTTGGGGAGAAAAAAGCTCCAAGATTCGGAGAAAAAAAAATTAAGAGATGTTACGAAAACGCTATTAAGTAAATACTTAGAATGGTCCTCTTCTTCGTTTTTTTTTTTTTTTTCTTTGGTACAATACTTAATTAGAGTGGGCTTTTTTAGGGAAGACTACACTA